AAAATTACTGCCCTCTAACCACACAAATTAAAAAAATCTGTTATTTTTAATTTATAAAATGACTGCGAATTCAATGAATAATCTCTATTAACATGACGAGATGTAAATGAGATCCGGTAGAGAGTTTCGGTGTGACCATATAATAAAAATAATTTAATTTATAAATCTATTAAACTATTTTTAATAAAAATTTTATATTATTTTATGTTTTATTTCATTTTATTAATAATATTTACAATAGTAACATTTAAACATTAATTAATCCCAAGTTCAGTTTAATGAATGTTGGATACTACTATCAAATAAAAACAACCATTAAAAACCCATCCAATTGTTTAACGCCTCTTTTGCAGGTTTGTAAGTGACTCGGTTGGATTAATTTTAGGCAGTAGTTTTCAAATTGTAGGTGTGAAAGGAATCCCTTGTAAGGAAAATTTTCCATACAAACAATTGATTCAACCTAACAATTCCTTCATAAAATATAAAACAATTTTTTATACTTTTTTTTTAATCCTGGTCAACTAACATACGTTCGGACGCATCTGTCTCATCAATTATTGATAATTAATAATTAAAATTTTTTAATTTTTTCCCTTTAAAGTTGTGATTAAATTTTATTAAATGTAATATTTTTAAATAATTTTATATAAAATTTTATACTAAATTTAATTAAATAAAATATAAAATTAAAATGTAATATAATATTTTTATTTAAAATTTTTAATAAAAATATAAATTTATATTAAAAATATATAATTAATTACTAATATTATAATTAATAAAATTTAACCTTTATGGCAAAGGTATAATTTAGATATATCCTTAATAATTAATAAAATAAATAAATATCTATCAATTAACCAATCTACACGTCCTCTTTTTAAAGTCTTGCATCAATATATATCTTCAGCATATCCCATGTTCTTCTCCCTCTTTTTGCTAGATACTTCCAACCAATTCTCTTCTCCAAACTATTCAAACAAAGATGGCTGACTCCATCCTTGGCTCCGTCGTAGCAGCCGTTGTGTCGAAGGTGATTGCTGTTGCTTCTGATCTGGTGACTGCTTTTGCTTCTGATCAGGTGATTGCTGTTGGTTCTGATCAGTTCAATGTAGCACTGGGATGGGAAGAGGAGCTGGAAAAATTTCATAGGACAATGATGAAGCTTCGAGGTTTCTTGCAAGATGCTCATGAAAAGAATGTCAGTGGCCACCTTGATCTGAAGTCGTGGCTCCAGGATCTTCGAGATATTGCAGATGAGGCTGATGATATACTGGAAGAGGTCGCTTATGAAGGTATGCGGCCGGAAGTTAAGAAATCAAAGGCGTTTGACCTCCACGCCTTGTTATTTCGCCAGAAAATGGCAAATAGAGTTGAGGATTTGAATAAAAGACTTGCTGATATCAATTCCACGGCTCATCAGTTGGGACTGCAACACAAACTTGCAAACATGCTTCCCGAACTCAGAGGCAGGGCAGGCCGAGAGACCCACTCTTTTCTTTCATCTCAAGTTTATGGAAGAGAGGAAGATGTCTCTAAAATAGTCAGGTTGTTGGTTGACTCAAGTAGTCAGCATGACCTTCCTGTCATGATTATAGTGGGTATGGCAGGCCTTGGCAAAACCACTATAGCAAAAGCAGTGTTTAAAAATGGTGAAATACAGGAACAGTTCGGTGATAATAGAGCGTGGGTTTGTGTGTCTGAAAATTTTGATGTCAAAAAGATTTTAATGGAGATCTTGAACTCTTGTGGTGGAAGTAGAAGTGCTGATAGGGATTTTGGAAGCACAGATTTAGTGATGGGGGAAATACAAAAGAAGTTGAGGGAGAAAAATTATCTTCTCATCCTAGATGATGTTTGGAGTGAGGAGAGACAAATGTGGGAGGATTTAAGGGATTGCTTGTTGGGAATAAGTGAATATAAGGAGAGTTGGTGTAAGGTGCTTGTGACAACCCGGCTTGAAAATGTTGCATCACTAATGGCACTTTCTGATGAACACATCCATCGTCCTCGGCAATTAAATGAAGATGAGTGCTGGAGTATAATCAAGCAGAGAGCATTTGGAGACAATTCAGTACCTGAGGGGTTACAGGGAATTGGAAAACAGATTGCTAAACGGTGTAAAGGCATTCCACTAGTTGCAAGTATTATAGGGGCTATTTTGCAGAAAAAGAGGGACAAAAGGGAGTGGCAGGCAATTATAGAGAATCGTGTTTGGGATTCACTGGAAAAGGAGGGGATCTCGGATATAATAAAATTCAGCTATGATCACTTGCCCACACTGGCTTTGAAGCAATGTTTTGCATTTTGTTCCATTTTTCCTAAGGGTTTTGTCATGGAAAGGGAGATGCTAATTCAACTTTGGATGGCTCTAGGATTTCTTGAATCACCTGAAGAAATTAGTAATATGGCAGCGGAAGACGTTGGTGACAAGTATTTTAGATATTTGTTATCATATTACCTATTTCAAGAGGAACGAAGGGATAATGTAACTGGGAGTGTTGAATCTTGTAAGATGCATGATTTGATTCATGACTTTGCCCAGTCAATTTCAAAATCTGAGACACTGATTGTTGAGAAGTGGCTTGGAAGCAATATTTCTCATGATGTTAGGCATTTGAATCTAATTGGTGGGAGGAAAATGGTGTCAACAATTGTAGGAGATGTTGCTAAAAAGTTGCAGACATTGTTTTCTAAGCATGGTTTTTCTAGTGGTGTGCAAGTGGATCTTAAAAGGTTACGGGTTCTCAGCCTTGATGGTGCTTCTGATGTAAAACAATTGCCAACATGCTTTGGCAACTTGAAGAGGTTGAGATACTTGGACATTTCAAGAACTCAAATGAAAGAATTACCCGAATTCATCTCCAAGTTGTACAATCTGCAGACATTTAGATTCATAGGCTGCATATCTCTTCAAATGCCCCCAGGAGGAATAGGAGATTTAATCAACTTGAGGCATATTTGTTTTAGTGATGAAGAGCGTATGCCTGCAAACCTTGGGAGACTAACCAACCTACAAACATTGCCATTGTTTTTTGTAGGTACAACAGAAGGACATAAAATTGAAGAATTGGGAAGCTTAAGAGAACTCAAAGGAAGGCTAGAGATCCATAAGCTTGAGCTTGTTATGGGCAAATCGGAAGCAGAGGCAGCAAAGTTAAAAGAGAAGGCAGTTGATGTGTTGAAATTATGTTGGAGAAAAGAAGGCAATTGTGATGAAGATGTCTTGGAAGGCCTCCAGCCTCACTCAAATATAAGAATATTAAGTATTGAAGGCTATGGAGGTAGAAAATTGGCATCGTGGATGTTGTTACTCAACAGTTTGGTGGATCTGACAATTACTTGTTGCAAGATGCTTCATAGAATTCCAAATGTCAATGGGTTTTATTCTCTTCAACGGCTCCATGTTTCCTTTTGTGATGAATTAACTAGTTTGGGTGATGGTGATGGAGCATTTACGTCTCTCAAACAATTATATCTGCAGAGGTGTCCTAAATTGAAGTTTATTCCAAGCCTAGAAGGACTTGTCTCTCTGAAAACAGTATATGTTAAGGATTGTGATGAATTAGAGTGTCTACCGAGTGGGCTTTCATCCTGCACTGCTCTAGAGGTATTGGAGATATCGAATTGCTCTAATTTGGTTTCTATTTCTAGAGAATTGAAACAGTTAAGGTCTCTTGTTAAGTTGGTTTTTTGTGATTGTCCAAAATTGAAGTTTATTCCAAGTCTAGAAGGATTTGTCTCTCTGAAAACAGTAAATGTTAAGGATTGTGATGAATTAGAGCGCCTACCGAGTGGGATTTCATCCTGCACTGCTCTGGAGGTATTGGAGATATCTAATTGCTCTAATTTGGTTTCTATTCCTGGAGAATCGGAACAGTTAAGGTCTCTTGTTAAGTTGATTTTTTGTGATTGTCCAAAATTGAAGTTTATTCCAAGTCTAGAAGGACTTATCTCTCTGAAAACACTAAATGTTAAGGATTGTGATGAATTAGAGCGTCTACCAAGTGGGCTTTCATCCTGCACTGCTCTGGAGGTATTGTGGATAACAAGA